GATATATTGGGTTAAAACCAATATGGAGTAAAAGCTGGAGGCATCCTCAGGGTTACTGACAATAACGTTTTTCCCTGGAGCACAAAGGAAACGAGACATGGATTTATTGAATACCAGTTTGAGTTTTCGCAGGCAAATAACCTAAATCTGCTCTCGGGGCTATTGAAATACTTCGTCGTCTTCTGTGCAACCAATATTGTCTTGTAAACTGTCTCGTAGGGTTCCTTAAACTTTAATAATACTCACAGAAAGCAATTATCTAAGTATGGGACGTGATCATTCACCCATTTGGGATTAGTTTTCTAGGGGAAGCTCAAGAAGTGATTGACTTGGAAGAGGTTGTGTATTGATTCCCCTACGTCTTAGTTGTCCAGTCATTCCACTTTGTTTAGTTAATAAGGACCAACAAATGCAACCTCAGGTCCTGGGTGTTAGTGAGCGACTGCGTTCTGCTCTCTTTTCTAGCTTCTCTCTTCTTTCCAGGGATCATGACAAGTGTTTGTCCAATTGTTTAAGTGTTAAACACCCCAGTCAGTCATTCTAACAACCTCTAAAGAAATACCATCTGCATTAGTGGAAAATCAGGTGATAAAAACGGGAGCTCTGCTGCTGTTTCACCGCCTGCTTTAGTGAGCCTGGAACTGTTGCAGACACTGGCTATAGGGAAATGCTGAAGAAAGGAGTTCCACAGTGCTGCGGTTTTCCATCTCGGACCAAATCTGCATTGTGTTCATCAACAGGTTTCTTTTTTGATGTTCAAGAGGCTCCTTTCCCAGCTTTAAAAGCCCCATCTTTGCTACCGGCTGCAGAATCCAAACGGCTCTGCAGCGAATTCATCAACACTGCAAGTGGTCCAACCACGTGTGGCTGTTTTTCAGCTATAAAGGAAAACTGGTTTGAGGCCAGCTAGACAGCCAGACAATCCTGAGAGACCGAAAGGTGAAATGAAATGTTAATGTTGGAACTTGTTCTCAAACGACAGTGGCTACGAGCGGTTTGAAAGGAAACCACGAGGAAACGGTACACCTACTGCTCTTGCGGCTTTTCTTTTATTTCTCTCCCCTTTTCTGAAAGATCCTGGCGGCTTCCCAGTGAAGAGCTGCCCAGGTAGGTTTTTGCCATCCCATGTTATGCCAACTTTAATAATAATAATAATAATAATAATAATAATAATAATAATAATAATTCCTCACACTTATATAGCACTTTTCTAAAAACTCTACTCAAGGCACTTTACAGGTAATGGGGATCCCCTCCACCACCAGTGTGCAGCCCCACCTGGATGATATGATGGCAGCCAGAGTGTGCCAGAGTGTGCCACAGTGTAGGAATGACTTGACCCACACACTTTATGGCAATAGAGAAGCCAGCCAGCCACCTTTATGAAGGCTTTGACCCTTGGAGGTCAAAGGTTAAATATTACAGGAAATGCTCTTAAGAGCCTTCAGTCTTCATTACAGCAGGTTTTGTACTGCAAAAATAAAATCATCCTGTACAAAATTCTCCCACCGTGGCTGGTGTTGATTCTGTACTGTCATGCAGCAGTCTGAAAATAGTGTGTTTGTCATCATTAACCCTTTGATTTCCAGATTTAGGCTTCCGCCTTGATGTTGTTTGTGTTTTATGTTATGTAGAGATGTTTTCCTAGGCTGAGAAGGAAATCGGGTGAATGAAATCACTGATCTCGCCTTGGAGACCAAAGAAACCTGAAATATTACAAATGAAGGATATTATGCACAGGTGGATTTCAGCAGTGGGTGGTTAAATCCTTAGACCTGGTGGAAGCTTAAGAGACTCCATTGTTTGCAGACTTTATAGTTGCTCTTGACAACATGTGTTGCTATTTAAAATTCTACAACACTTAATTCAAGGATTATCTACATCAGGGGATTGAGAAGCAAGCATCAGAACATGCTGAACCGCAATATCCACTGTGTCATCCACGTCTCGCATGTTAAACCTGCCTGGTCATTATTTCTGGACCTGCCCCTGGTCTTCAATACACTCTGGTCACTTCAATTCCTCTTTTTTGTCTTTTTTAATTATGAGAGAGTTTGAGTTCTTAGAAGAGGGTTTCTAGAAGACGTTGAGCCCCTCCGGATCAAAATGCTAAGCTGGAGGTGTGTAGCTATGGCAATAGACGTTCAGCCTTGGGCCCGCAGTCATGCACCAAGACAGGCAACGGAATAGAATTGCAAATGTATCACCTCCATCTTGTTCTTGGAATTTCACAGCAATTCTTCAGGTCTGCTCGTAGCAGTAGGGCTCTGTGTCCCAGCGTTTGGGGGCATTTTTCACATCCTGTTGTCTTCTGTTTGGCAGGTTCAGTGAAGTCAGTGATGTGTTGATCACAATGTCGGATTGTCCCCCTGGGAAAAGGTGCAGATCATCTCTGCTGGGTTAGTATGCTTGACTCGAGTGTGAAGCCCTTACATGGTTCAGTGTTAAAATGAAAGCATCCGGCAGGTGTGTAAATGCATCTTCCCTGTAGGCTGCACATTTCATAGTATGTAGAATATTTAGACCCCCCCAGCTTGTGCAGTACACTACTCCAGCCATTTGTAATAGCATCAAAAGGAGTTTTTATTTTTCATTGTTTCTTTCTCTAAATATAACTGTCAGTAAATAAAATACAGTGAATTACTGGTACTTGTAAACACCCAATTTTGTTACATGATAAATTTGCAAAGACTTAAAACCATGTTTCCCTGTGAAATCATAATGACTCAAGATGAGTGCAAGCTCTTATTGCCTTACTAGATCGTTTGGTTACTTGTAGCTAATTTAAGGTCTCACCTAGCTGGGTTTGGAAAGACGTCAGGACATGAGCTCTGACAATGTCACAAGGTTGCTTGTTCCACACTCCCACAGCCCTTTGCATACAAAAGTGCCTGCTGTTCTCAGTTTTAACAGCACTTCCTCGTACTTTCCAGTTGTGTGCCCTGGTTCGTGTTTCACTGTTTATTTTAAAGAAGTTCACAGGCGAGGGTCTTCTGCAATTTTCTACCGTGTTTGAGACTAAAAAGATTTAGTTCTACCAGCTACTGGGAACAGCATGTTCTTTAAAGCCAAGGATTAGATGATCCTAGTGTTATATGGTTGTAACAATATTTAGTTGTTAACATGGTGCCAACCTGCTGGAAGAGTATTATATAACTACTCCTAATGCACTAGTGCACGGTCTCAGTGTCTTTATTTCATGGTGAGAGTCATCATCGTTGCTCGTTTTTTTGCATCGTTGCCAGTGTTTTTTTTCCCTTGATAAATTCCAGGTGCAGGAGCAGACTGCTGGTGACTCAATTCAATTCATGTGCGATGGATCACACATGACCTGGCTCCCGCCTGGTGTGGTAAATCCAAAAGCTCATTCCCAGACGAATCTTTCACTTTCTTTTTGGTTTTAATTTGTGGAGTTGTGAGGATTTGCTGACTCAGGAAATGGCAAGTAAGAGATTTCCCCCCATCAGATGCAGGTCTGGAGCTGATCCCTCTGTAGCCGAGCAGCAGAGCTCTATGCACCAGTGACATGGTTTTGTCTTTTCTGCCTTGTTGTCAGTCTGGACTTTTCAGGAGAAAGAAGAATTGGCTTTCAAGCATTCCACAAGTACCTAAGAAAGTACTAGGGGAATCCCTGCTGCAGAGTTCACAATGGGAAAATTGTCATGGCTTTATAATTACCGGCATCACAGCAGTGTATTTGTTTCTAGTCATTTGTTTATCACATTCTGGGAAAAAAAAGAAACTTGGTCTCTTCTTCTCCATAAGTTGCTGATCTCTAAAGTGCACGACAGGTGAAAGCTCTGCAGACGGGATGCATTCCACTGCCATCTGCTGCTGTGAAGCCCTCAGCACTGGAGCACTGAATTACTCAGGGGTGAAATACTGATGTCAGATGTGCTGCGTCTATGCCATCAGGTGTAAAGACCTGCTCTGCTCTAGGATTGCACAAATGGACCAATGTTCTGATACAGCCGGCGAAAAAACATTTTTATTAATAAAATGTATTTCTTAAAAGAGCCTTGCCGTTTAACATTAATATCCAAACATTCCCCTCGTCACTTCGGCGCTTATGCTATGACTGCAAACACCAGGACATCAGACTGAAACGTACGCCTGGATCTCTCGGAGTTGAAGAACCTAAAGGAGCCTATCAGGTGATCTCATTAGGTTTCTTGAAATTAGCTAAGGGTGTCTGCTTCGGCGGTATGGCTGGGCACCTTCATTCCGATCCGCACAAAGACGCTTTTAAGATTTATTTTCTAATGTATGCAATTCTATCTGTTATGCATTGGAGGCGGTGTTCCATTTGTCTTTACAAAATAAGAGCTTGCATCCACGAAAATCACAGTACACCCGTTCGATTCTCCTTTCTGTATCTGTTCAACGCGAGCACTTCCCTCAAATACTGTTGCGTTGGGCGGATCGGTCACGTAGGTGTTGCGCTGTGGAGCTGCCGGCTCTCTGTAAAGCCACTGTCGCCATCTAGTGGATAGACTAGGCGATTGCAATAATTTTAATCAGTTTTTTTTTCTGGAGCAGCAAACGTTATCAACTACACTAAACTCCTTGTTTAATTGACTAATAAGGCGGAAGCGTGTGTCCATTAATACCGAAGTACTATTAAATGACCAATTATGTTTTTTCAGCTCAAAAGTATTATATGAGAAATATATATACTATTTATACATATGCTTTTGGATCTTTTGAAATATTTTAAAAAAAAAATCAAAATTGTTCCTATTTTTTGCAGTCAAAACTGTTCCTGCAGGGAGGGGAGCTCCTGGGAAAGTTGAGGTTCCTCTGGAAGAGGTTAGTGGGACCAACAGGAGGACCTCACCCAGTGGCATGTGTGGTCCATTATAGTAATGGGGACACTATACTGTAAAAAGGTGCCATCCTTCAGATTAGATGTAAAATGAGGTCCTGACTCTCCTTGGCCATTGAAAATCCCAGGGCATTCCTTGAAAAGAGTAGGGGTGTTACCCTGGTGCCCTGGCCAAATCCCCCCCTGGGCTTTACCAGTCATGGCCTTCTAATAACAAGGAGGGTGCTTCCCTTTGGCCAAATATACAATAAACTCCTTTTCTGCTCAGCAAAAAGGTCTCCAGTGGATTTTTACCCTACACTGTAAAGAGATAAAGCAACTCCAGCAAGTCCTGATCTCAAATGCGTGGCTGCTTAGTTTGCAGACAGCGCAAGCGTGAAGGCCTAAAATGCACCCGCGCGTCGGTCACCTTCTTTTCCTGATCACGACATCAAAGCAAAGCAGGCTTGTAACAACTCGGCTATAGAAAAATATTTTATTCTATATAAATCCACATCTTATACCTATGAAAGCATAAAATTCAATCTGTGATTGTTATTGTTTTATAATTGAAAGAAAAAATACAGATACTGTACCAAATCAGAAATGGTCAAAGGTGTAATTCACATCCACATACTTACACAGTCAATGTCTTAAAAAATGTCACTGTCTTCTGTCCATATTGTATCTGGGTGCCTGTCAGTATGTAGAAAATTGTGTTTTTTGTTACATTTGCATCTGTGGCTTCTTATAAAAGGGTCAGACTGACAGTTCAAAGTCAGAACAAGCAACACAGTTTAATGCCCCAGTCCGGTGCCCCTGTATGTACATTTCTGCTTGTTTCACAAAGTGCTTGGGTCCAATTGTTCATTTTCACAAAAAAAGTCTTTGTTGGTTGGTTGGTAAACAAAGCTGTGAGACTTTTTTTTTTCGACAGCCGCACTTCAGATGAAACTTCATACATGTTCCACATTTATAAGTCTGGGGTGGAGCTGCTCAAAACCATTTGCCCCACAGAAACCTTTATTATTCCTTTCTTCTGTTTGTGTGATAGCGACCTTGACAAAAAAACAATCAAACCATATAAAGTGCCCTAAATTCACTTTGTGCTACACTGTAAAATGCTCTTCCAGAGCCTCTTCAGTGCATGTGCACTTGAATGTGATTCACAAGTAGATTTTAGATCCTTTTCTTGGCCAAGTTAGTTATCCTGATCCACAGCTCTTAGCTGTTCCTGGCTTGGCATTCAGTTTGTAGCCTTTGCATAATGGCTTGACAACAGAAGGACTCCAGCCAGGCCAGCGCAGACCAGCATCAAAACTATATCCTATTCCATCTACGTCTTCCTCAGCGCGGACAGAGAGATGAGAAGGAGGTGTATTCCTGAAGGTGGGATGATTTTCTTTATTTTTTTCTGCTTGTGTTTAGAATGCAGTGGAAAAGATCGGCAGTCACCGGAACATTGGTGATGTGTTGGGTTGCCGCACCTGTAGGGGTGGAGGAGTTTCATGAGACCAGAAGGCAGGGGTGTGTGGGGTAAGACAGCCTCTGTCTCTAACCCAGAGGTCCGGAAGAAACGTTTTATTCTCATCCTGCAATCTTCTTTATCCTTTCCAGGACTCTCACCTGGGGACAGACAAACATTTGTTCTTTAACTTGTTGGATGTCATCAGATTAAATAGGTTTCAAAAATACGAAGGCTGGAATTCATTCAAAACTTCGATCCACCTGCCAGTTACAACTTGCCCACCATAAAACTAGATACCAGCTTTTTATTAGGAATCATATTTCGTTAGACATCTAACCAATGAAAATCAACCCATTGTCACGGACGTCCAAAGGGACTAACCGTGGGGAGCAGGAGAGCGGAAAAGACCCATATGCGTAGCGGCGAGACGGGAAAAAGGCCCAGGCTCATTAGTGCTAAGAGTTCAGGAATGCCGTATAGAAACCTGTGCCCTCAGGGAGCGGACGTGGGGCGCCCTGGTGCTAGGCGGGTCTCAGGACATCCGAACGTCAATACTGAGCGAGGACAGAGTGCAAAACCCAGAAATATATAGCCCAAGGGAAAGAGAGGGACCGGAAGGACAACAGACCGGAAACTAGGGACAGGACAGAGAAGGAGCGCCCTCTGGCTGCAGAGGGTGTGACACCCATTTGTTTCTAATTTGTGGTTGCTATGCGGATCAATGTTTTAATAATACCTGAACCTACGTTTAGCTGCTATTCATTCTGTTACAGTTCTTTTATTAAATCTACACCATTGCATGACGATTGAGATGCAGTCCTCTACAGTTTAGTCCAGGCAATGGAATAATCAATGCTGGTGTGCAGTTTTAGCCAAACTCCTATTCCATTAGAGTTTATAGATTAATATTTAGCTGGATGCTGTTAACTGTAAATGGCAAGTGCTGTTACAGACCACTCAAGAACAGAGCCCCGCTCACTGGAGTACTATTTCTGTGGGTTTTTTTTCTAATACTTTATAGCAGGTAATGTGCATGGTCCCAATATTTTTGTAACACAAGCGCATTCCACCCCACTCTATATTCACACCTACCGCTTCATCTTCACTTCTGTGAGCTCAGTCAACTTGGCTGAGTTGCATGAGGATCTGAAAGAAACAAACAGACAAAACACAAAGGCCTTCAGCCCTGATATCAAAGTGAGCACCAACCACACAATCGAATTCTGAATGCTAAAAATGCTTGGTCTGCATTACCTTTTCTAGGCAGGTTAAATACTAAACTCCAGATAGCAGTTTCAGTTTTCATATAAAGGCTGGGCTGATACAGTTTTCATTTTGATGCATCTTATTTGTGAAAAGACTGGGGTCTTGTACAGTTCGGAGGAGTTTAGTAACATAAGTACCAGAGCAGGAACCTTGTCAATTAATGGCCCTGATGAAGAATTTTCCTGGCTTAACTTTTGACCTTTGTGCGCAGAAGTTCGTCAAGACATTGTTTTTCGGTGTGATGGCCAGGCTGTGTCCTGTGTTGTCTGTGTCTGTAGCTGAAAAACCAACTTGTCTGTCAGTCATCTGATACTTGCACGTCAACCTCTTTTGTTTGACGATTGACTACTGTGCAGCCGTTGCTTGTAAGGCGTTTCTACTGCACATCTAGTTAAAATATGCTCAGAATTCAGGATCTTGAGTCCTGTCTGGTTTGGGGGAAAGAGATGATATCATGCCTGCCTAGGATCCCTTATTGTGTCATAGTCAAGTTTCAAGGTGATGTTCAAAAATTTAGTGCTCACATTCAAGGTGCTGCTTGGCTTGGCTGTCCTGTATGGCAAAGTTACATGATTACTTCTCTGCATATGAGCCTCGCTCATCTGGGCCAGCACTGGGTTCTTTTAAATTCAGCAGCCTGAAACCCTTTTCAGACGCTTCTTTTGATGTTTATCTTCTGTATCTACATTGGCTTTCTTCAGTTTCATTGTGTGCATTATGCTTTGTAAGTTTTGTAAAGCACTTTGAATTGATTGCTGTTAAAAGCACTATTTGAAATTATAATAAGGGACTATAATGCCGCCACAATATATATCCTTGTCAACATTTGCAGCGTGTTGCACTTAAAACCCTTTTTGTACCACTCTACCCTATATAACTTCCACAACATATTTGAACAGTTCTGCAACTGTTATGAACTTAAGTCAGCTTCAACAATGACATACGCTTAAGTAACTCTGTAATTAACTAATTAATAAAAGGGAAGATTAAGTTTCGGTGTGCGTGTCTGCCCTGGGATGGACTGGTGTCCCGTCCAGTGTGTACCTTGTCTTAGCCCATTGCTTGCTGGGATAGACTCAGGCTCCCGCACAACCATGTACTGGAAGAAGAGGTTAGAAAATGAATGGATGGAAGATAAAGATCAAAGATAGAGATCAGATCAAAAGATAGATATTTTGATCCTGCATTTGGATATTTGCAATAATAACTACTTAAACTAATCATAACATCACTCCTTTATGACAATTATGCACTTACTGAATTTGATGCTGTATCTCAACTTATTGATTCAGGAGAATGCAGGAGTTTGAGAAAGGAGTCTGATTTAATGTATTCTCTCACCTTGTTTTAGTCTTTTCTGTTTCCCCTTTCTTTCACACTTGGAAACAAATTTGCTTTTCAGATCTGCAGCTTTCTCTCATGTGTCACAGTACTTTTTTGGAAAAGTTTTTTTTCCCCCACTGTCACAAAGGATATGTCATGTGTGACACCCCTTGCATTCAGAGACTCAGTGCTAAATTTCATGAGATCTCAGTGGGGAGGAGAGCAGAGTGATGGAGCCAATTCAAAGATGGGGATTATTAGGAGGCCGTGACCGGTAAAGGTCAGGGGGAAACTTGGTCAGGATGCCGGGGTTACACTCCTACTCTTTTTGAAAAAGGCCCTGGGATTCTTAATGAGTGCAGTGAGGACCTTGGTTTTACATCTAATCCAGAAGACAACACCTTTTTACAGTACTGGAGCATCAGGACCCACCCAGACTGCAGACTGAGTGCCCCCTGCTGGCCCCACTAACACCTCTTCCAGCAGCAACCTTGGTTTTTCCCAGGAGGCCTCCCATCCAGGTACTGACCAGGCTCACACCTGCTGAGCTTGAGTGGGTTGCCAGCTGTGAGTGGCAGGGCGATATGGCAAATAGCTTTATAAATAAATAGCTTTTTGTCTTTTTTGACTCCCCATTACAGCAGGGTTTCACTCCCTTTCAACAATAGGGAAACTATTACCTCTTAAAAAAGTAAAATCACAAGATTCATGAATTTAGGGAGCAAGCCTGAGTTTCATTCCTATTAGGAAACAGAAACAGTATCTTATGTACCAGCATCACTGTTGGTCACACTGCAAGATGAACCTGTTGAAAGGACTGAAGTGGTTTTGGATACATTAACTGAGGAACAGTTGCTGGATTTAAAAAAAACTTTTTTTATTTTTAGATATCCCAAGTAGAGAGGAGCTCTTCTTATGCCTGATGTTTTAAAAAATGTTATTGCAAAAGCATAAAAGCTCTTGCTTTGGTGGAAAAGCTTTGGAATGACAGTATGCAGAAATAGATGTGCATTTGTCCTGCCTCGTGAAGTGTTGGTAAACTCGGCAAGGGCCGATCTTCAAAATTCACTTCAGGCTTGACATGACTCAGATTTAAAGAAAAAAACAGAATTTTTAGAATTCAGTAGAATACCTGATTATGCCTTCATTTATCGTCATTTATATAATCCACCATTTTATAGTGCTTGAAGAGCCCAAAGCAGGATGCTACAATTTTTCAGGCAAATCAATGTTAAAAGACTTAAGAGACACCTCTGGGATGAATCACTGCAGCTGTGCATTGTCAGTGCAGGGCGAATCATCTCTCCCAGGAGAGCAACCTAGCAGAATCTGAATTATTTTGATCTGATGGAAAATCAACTAATATTTTGTTACTATTTCAATCACTTGGCAGATTTGAATAACTAAATCACACAGAGATTGTGTCCTGGGACCATTCCCTTCGTCTCATGTTACAAGACTGATGGAGCATGGAAATAGGGCTGTTGCTTGTTTCTTCTGTGGGAGCTGTCCCTTGTGGAGGATGCAAAACCGATTCCCGCTCTGATCTGTTTCATTTACAGGTCAGCATGTGAGCTCGGCTCTCGGTCTTTCAAAAGTCTTGCGTCAGCACAGACCTCACCTTGGACACCCGATAATCCTTCGTAAGGCAGCAGGAAACTGAGCACCAACGGATCTCCTTGTGTTATTGCGATACGTCGTCGTCCTCGGTAACTGCTTTCCCGTAATTGGGGTTCAAGTCCACCACCGTGGTGCCTTTGAGGGTGCCGCCGTAGCTCTCCTGAGTCTGAACGTCATATTTCTCCGCCAGTTTACCCGAGGAAGAGGAGGACCCTCCCCCATGGCTGCCGTTGGTCTGGGAGCAGACGTTGCTGACCTTGGCCTGCTTCTGCTTGTAGTGGTTGTTGTACACCTTGTACTTCATGAGCAGGATGAAGATAAAGACCAGCACAGAGGCCACGATGATGCCCCCAATGATGATGATCATGGTGCCGCCCAGGAACTGGTCATGGATGGAGCGGCACTGCCTGTACTCCTTCTCAGTGGTGAAGGCCACACAGCCAACCAGCTTGGTGGCGGTCAGGGAGGTGATCCCGTCGTCGTACACGGCCAGCACGCACAGATCGTAGTCCCGCGAGGAGGCCAGGTCACTGAGCAGGAACAGATTGCCGGAGGCAGGGATCATTCTGAGCAAAAGAGCAAGGCAACGGTCAGTCAATACCCGAGTTTACAGTTTCCCCAGATTGGAGGTCACCACACCTGGTCCTGGATTTCCAGCAGATGTTATGATCCCTCTTCTATCATCAGTTTGTAAGAACCTGGTGCAAGTGAGCTTTGATCAATTGAGGAAGTCAAATGATTCAGTTACGTCAGGATTGTCCATCTGTGCTCCCTGAGAAGGACAGGATGGTGGTATTTTCATTTCACGCCATCTACAGTACTTCGTAGGGCTTGAATGGGCAGAAATGAAACAGATCCAAATTCTTAAAAACTGATGATTTAAGAGCGACCCCAAGACATGCTGCTGTGGCTCTCTGAGGCCCAGGTTGGTCCACCCTGGATACAGATACATAAGGTGATTCATGCAAACTAAAATAAAAATAGATTATAACTAAATAAAAAATAGACAAAAATTGATTCTTGCAAGAAAAAGCAGCTCTGAGCTGGTGGGAAATCACCCACACTGTTTTTATGCAAAGACTAGAGACGAGACTTCTTGGCCTCTAGAAAGGCACATTGCAACCCAAGGTGCTTTGGCTGCATACAGATGTGGATCTAGGATCTGTGGCGAATGCCCGGAGCTTCTGGACTTGAGAAAAGCAAAGCAGACTTTGGAATATTAGGAGCGGCATGGTTAGAACACAAAGAAGCTGTACTCTAAGAAGCCATTAAGGTAAAAACAGAGTAATGTTCAGTTAAACACAGTGAAAGCATGGGAAATACATGGTAAATCTTGATGCAAACCATGACTAACGGTGCTGAAGCAAACTAAATGTGTGGGTTAAAACCTTGAGAAAACTGCAAACAATGTGGAGCAAGTTTACTGTGGTGAACTTTCATAAGTGACCAGCAGGAGGAGTTTTCTATTGGATTATTAAGCAGGTGAAGGAATGCATGATTCATTGCCTGAAAACTTGCTTTGTTTGCTCATTCAGGGTTTTAGCAAGTCTGACTTGCTGATCACGTAGTGGGAGGCTCTTCTGGCTTGATCCTCACAAGACATCCACCTGAGGCTGTGTGCTGTGTGCTGTGTGCTGTGTTTGCTGCGTCTTGCCCAGGGGACTTGGCACGTGAACTGTTGATATGCTTTCTGCAGCCTACAGCAGTTGTTTTCCCTGTTTGCTTTTCTGGTCCCTGAAGTTCAACGGGCCTTATTTATCAACACTTTGAAAGTAAATGGCAAGGCGGTTATAGAAAACAGGCAGAATCAGAAATCTCAGTAGGCAGACTCCTCAATATTTGGCAAAGTATTCAAGAACATGAAAATCATTATCTAAGTTGGACCATGGTCTAAAAACAAGAAAAGAGAAATAGCGGTTAATGTACCATTCTTTATTCTTCAAAGATTTTAGCCGGTTTCACTTTCATGTAAACAAAGAACCAATATAGTATCTGACAGCTGTCGTTTCTCACCTCCACTGTCTGTTCAATGGAAGCCTCATGAGAAAGCACATCTATTTAGTGGTGGAATGTGTTTGCACAGACTTCACAATAAGAAATCCGGCTTTTGCTTGAGATCTCCTGCAGTGAATACATTTTGCTGGGGAGTTTTCTTCCTCTCCTGTGTCTGGGTACCCCAGACCGAACATGTTAGCAATAAGAAGGAACATTATCACCCACGTTGAGTGAAATTGAACTCGAACATTGAACTTTGCTGGTGTAAACTTTTCACTGTGGGTCACTGTATGATAGCAGGCCACAGACCTGATTTTCAGTACACTTTGATGAGTGGCCCTATCTTTTCACAGCCTTCCCTGTGAGCCAAGATTGATTTTTTGGGCTCTTCAAATTCTCCCTCATCAAGTAAGTGACAGCTCAGCAGTCCTTCGTCTGGTGACAGTGTAAATATAGCTGATGGCACAGATCCTGACTTTTTGGCCAGCTGCATATTTTCATGGCAGTAGATCCCTATGTGAACTTTTCTGTGACGCCTCCCTGCAGCCACTAGGTTAAGACTGACATGAGTGGAAGAGAACAATCTCAAAGATGCAGCATCTGACATGGCCTACAGCTGGTTTCATCAATCAGTTAATCAATTAGCTGTGGGCAAGATTGATCATATTCCAGCTAGTGCTGCAGAAAGCTTTTGGACTGCAGTGCAGCTTCAGGGTCGGCTTGTATTGAACCCCCTATTAACAGCATTTTAAGATTGAACCAAAAAATAACTTAATGAAGGCATGCTTGTAGAGGAGTGCGGGGGCCTGGCACGTTTCGCCTTGACCCTGAGTGTGGCAGCTCTTCAGATCAGTGTTGCTGCACTGTGGAAGCTGTCACATGGTGTCAAGGAACTTTTTGCAATCAGCTATCCAGCTGTCTAGCAGAGTTAGTGGCGGGGGCATAATTACTACTGCTCACTAGCTTGTCACCAATGGGTAGCTTGGAACATAGAGGCAAAGAGCTAATTAATTTGCTGCTCACTGTGAGCAAAAGAAAGATGTAGGCTGGTTTGGGTATATCTGTCAGGGACAAGCTTTCCTCTCCAAGCTTCTCTAACAACAAAAAATAAACAGCAGTGGCCTTTTCTGGTATCCAACAGCCTCTAAGGATTGTATATATTTTTAATTGATTATGAAGCACAGTTTTGATTGCATTAATTTCCTCAAACGAATCCTTTTGACTTTTGTGTGCTGCTTTTAGCATAATTAAAGGAAATTAGATTTCTTAAGTGGCTGTTTTAGATTGCCCTTGGGGATAAGCTGGAGGATAATTATATTATTACAGTCTGTAGTGGTGTAGAATTGCAACAGTACTATTTCTTATTGTCTTTAATTGAAAGATGGATAAGTACCTTTTTTTCTGTTTTCTGAAAGTAGCCAATGCAATCAGTACAACAGGTCTGAGATCAATTCTACAGCTCCCCCAGAATGAAAAAGTGGACAAGTTGACTACTTTTGCAGCACGTTAATTAACTGCTTTCAAAAATGTCAGAATCACAAAGAGGAAGAGGGATTTGTCTAATCTGAAATGCTCAAGCCTAACTTCATGTGATGTATTCAACTGCCTGCAGTCCACCCCCTCGCTGGAAAATAAAAAAAAGACAAGGTCTTTTTCCAGATCCCAGGTGGAGCTGTGTGACCTAAAGGGTATTTTTAAACATTTCTGTATAACGGCTGTGTGGAGAGGAGAGGCAACAGAATGAGGATACAGTTCCTTGCTTTTCAAGACTGTCGCAGCTCTGGGAGAGAAACAACAGGGCTGCTGTGGTTGAAGAAATGTGTATTTCTGTTTCTTTTACGATAGGATTTTAACGATCTTTGGGTTTGTGTTTAGATTTTTTAGGTTTGTGTTTAAATAAATGTTCATTCCCCATTTAAGACATTTAATAATGAGACATTGCTTTACACAAAGGGTTGCAGATGTCTGGAAAAAACAAATACCCTGCCATGCTGTTGAAGATTAGTCTCTTTGAATCTTTCGCGAAATGGCTCACATCAGCAAGTCACGTCTGATCAAACGTGCAGGAGTGAATTCCTCTCTTTTGCAATCTTTTTTATGCTCTTCCTATCTTCCTACACGTTAGTGAACATTTGGACCCAGAACAGATGTCAGGTATTACAGTGAGCGTGCATTTGTTCTGTAATATCGTGTCAGTATGAATAATGACAGTAATGAAAGTGGTACGCTGGCCCTTTTTTCCTCTACATTAAACTCATAGCAGGGGCTATAGCAGGATCAGATTGTTATGGTAACCCACGACACTGAAAAGCTGTATGCCCGCTAAAGCAAAGGGAATTGAAAAAGAGCCCTTGAATTTTGACTGAAAGGCAACACATACCAAAGATGACTCAAGTGTTTGATGTTTTTGACTGTCTGGTGTCCTAACTTGAATACAGATGATCTCTGAATTCCAGTAACATACTGGTTGGACTCAGAATACCTTGTCAGTCTGTAGTATGCTCACTTATTTATTCCAAACTTTTCACCTGCAAAGCAACAGAGTGCATTTCTCTCCCTGCAGCAGTGCTTGAGGCCTATGACTAGGACATAGTATTAGGAGTTTACAGTCTCACTAAAACTGCTAAAAACTCTGCATTAGAATTATTCAGTGTTCAAATGAAGGATGTTTACTCGGGGAAAAGTTAAAACGGAATGAGAAGCAAAAGTTGTGAGTTTGTTTTGACTTATTAGTACTTCTTGGGAGAAAATGGAACAAAATATTGACTTTTTGGCAGTGTTACATTTTTGTTGTGATCAGAACCTCTCTAGTGTCACGTGGCTGCTGTAACCCGACAGTGCATGCACAGGAAACTTAGTACACCAATGCTCTCCAGTCAACCTTTGTTCATCTGTTCACTTCTGTCCAAATAATGAAGAGCTGTCTCACCTGTAGATGAGGATTCGGTCTAAGGAGCTATTGTACTGAATCTGATACATCCGTATCCCTGGAATGTGGTTCTGGGGGTTCCACTTGATGGTGGCTGACGAAGACGTCACCTCGGTCACCATGACCCTCTGGTCCTGCCTGGAGTTGGTCACATTGGATTTAATGGATGTGGGGAAGTCTGAGGGTCCCGGCTCAGGTTCGATTTTGGGGTTGAAATAGGGAAAAGGGTTGACGATGAGCTCCACGGGGGCAGTGGACTCTCCGGCCGCGTTGGAGGCAATGCAGGTGAAGATGCCGGAGTCCTTGATGGTGGTGGTGAGGATGTCCAGGGTCCCGTTCTCGTAGCAGGTGGTCCTGGTGGTGTTGGCAATCAGCTTGCCTTCGGGACTGACCCAGTGAATGGTCGGCTCTGGGTCCCCAATGGATTTGCACCTCAGACTCACCTCCTGGCCTTCCATGACAAACATCTTGGAGGTGTGCCTGGTTATCATAGGTGGTTCGCAGATGAACTCCTCCTCCTTGATGGTCCAGAAGTATTTCCCCATCAGCTCCTGCGGCGAGGCGCAAGTCTCCAGGTCGTCTTCCCTGGTCAGCCTCCGGAGCCACACCAGCTCACAGTTGCAGTGCAAAGGATTCCCCCCGAAGCTGAGCACCAGAGCAGACAGGGGGGATCCCTTTGTTTTGGCGTAAACGGGAATCCTGAGGAAGAGGGGATCGGGAGGAATCTTCTTGAGCTTGTTGGAGGTCATGTCCAAGCGGGCCAGCTTGTGGAGGTTGGAGAAGATCCCCTCGGGGACGAACTCAATGAGGTTGTGATCCAGGCTGAGGGTGTTGACACTGACCAGCCTGCTGATGGTATCCCAGGGAATGTCCACCAGGTTGTTGTAGGACAGATCCAAGTCTTCCAGGGTCTCCAGGAAATCCTCAAAAGAGCCCTCGGCAATGGACTGTAACTGGTTGTTGCTGAGGATCAGGTGGCGCAGGTTGATGAGTCCTTGGAAGTGGCTGTCATTGAGGGTGGTCAAGCGGTTGCTGTCCAGGTGCAACGCGTGTAGTTCCTGGAGGTCAGAGAAGGTGTAGGGAATTATTTGGCTAATGGTGTTCCTGGAAAGGGTCAGGTGGATGAGGCTGGTCATGTTGGCAAAGTCCTTTCTCCTCAGAGTGGTGATGAAATTGTCCATGAGCCGCAGCTCCGCTGTCCTCTTGTCGATGGTGGGCGGCACGAAGAGGAGCCCAGTCTTGGCACAGAGCACAGTGTAGGAAGGCATGAGGTTCTGACACATGCATCTCTTTGGGCAGAGCATGGCAGAGGCTGGGGCGCTGAGCATGACCAAGCAGATGAGCAGTCTCTCCATTGCTAGCTTCCTGGACAAACAGAGAGGAGATGTGGTGAGAAAGCAATACAGAGAGTAAGAAAAAAAAATCTCTTAAGTTGAGACAGTGGCTTTGGGATCTGTCACATTGTGTATGTTATGCTTCCAAGCCAGAGCCTGCTTGCCTCTCTGTTTCAGAATAATGGTCACTGGTACTGCCTGCAAGCAAGGACTTCACATTAGTCTTGTACTGAATGCTGTGACACGAGAAATAACATGGTGCATACTACGTTCTCTAGACAAAGCTACTTATGATAAAAATAAAATGCCTCATAATAACTGCCATTTTTTGCCATTTTTGTCATCGTAGAGAACAGTACATTTTTTAAGAAAGGAAAACTCACTCATTTGACGAAAGCAGTAAAATCAAAATCTTGGCACACACTGTTGTTGTAGTGCTATTACAGCTGGAGTCCAGGAGAAGGCAGTATTCTCAAACAAATGAAAGGAGGAAGGAGAGAGTCCAGGCTCATAATTTATCACACACCCTCTCTCTTATATGTCCATACCCACATTACGGTGACTGGGATGACACTTGATCTTATTGTAATGAACCAATATGAAAAAATATTTGGACTTCTCAAAGTTGTCAGCACAGCTGTGATACCAAAACAGGAAGGCACATTGGTGAAATCCCTGTTTCTTAATAGTCTAATTAGTGTGGTCTCTGAAGAATACCTTCAGACACTCATACACCTGCCATTTTAATTGGGCTAAATAAGTGCTGTGCAGCGCACATTATTATCAAATAAGCAACCCTCCAAAACACAATGGAATTGTATCACTTTGTAATATTAGCAGCAGATATGCTTGTCTTAATGTGACAGATTTGTATATGAATGGTATTTAGTTTCTTAATGCTTTCTTGTACTACAGAGTGTCATTTCATGATGGTGAACAAAAGAAACACAATGTTAATACAGTAATGGTGAGTAAAGGTTAGCAGGGGATTTCCAAATTAATTATACAGATTAAGGTTTACAAAACTACATATAGTAAATATATATGCCATTATTTTCACTCTGGGCAATCTGCCCAAACTGTAGCAAATGAATTCAGTGGCATTTTATCCACAGGGAAAATTGAGGTTTGATAAATGTTTTGTTTTTTCTTTAAATTGCAGGTATCAAACATAGGACCATTGCTTGCTATGATTATGCTAGTAAGTAGCTGTACTAAAGCTGTACTTCCATTTTGTTTTATTTTATTACAAACTTGATGGCATGCTTTGTGTGTTTTATTTAATTGCAATTTGTTTCAACTTAGTAAGTTTGCTTAAAAACCCTATAACCAAATGAGGAAGAAAGAGACATCCAATTTTTGATAGAAATTCATTTTATTTAGCTTTATCTTAAATGAATTGCTAATTTGACCGATAAGGCAGAATATACAGATCACATTAACAGTAGATTAATAAAATGATACAAAAGACACTAATTAATTGATTAAATATTGAAGTGGTGATAAGGGTAATGAAGGAACAGGCCAGTTGGAGCACAGTGAGTTGCGGTTCTGATGTTTTAAAAATTGACATGCCAGTTAAAGAGTGGTACCAGCATTTGTCTAATAAGCAGAAATAATAAGCAGAATTTAAAGATCTAAAACCCACACAGTGATTTCGGGTGTTGACTGCAGATGCACTGTGAAGTATTAGATTAGGCATGTTGTGCAGCAGATACTGCAAAAGAGCTTCTGAAGAGGTGGTGGGGTGGGGGATTTCTGACTGGGAACCAGCTTTGCCAGTTCCAAATGTGTGTATTCTTTGCAGATAATAATAGCCAGTGAAGGTGAAGAAGAGGGATAGATTGAGGTCCCAAAGGTAATGAGCATTTAAACCCCGAACTGGCTGCAGAGAAAAATCGAGTGGTTCAGATATCAGTTTGTGTAAGCAGGTAAACATTTCTCCTGAGCAACATGCCCGGACCTACTGCTCCCAGTTCCAGGCAGCAAACCCCCTGCCAAGCAAAGCACCTCTTTCAAGCTCAGTTTTGTCAATAGGAGTGAGCGAGGAGGCAGAATAAGAGAAAGTCTGGGTATGGGAAGCTGTTTTTGGAGGGCAGTTGATTGGGTTATCTGTAAATATGCGAGCGATGCATGTTTTAGCAAAGAACGTGCTACCAAGGACCGATACCCTGACAAATCTTAAAGTACTGTATGGTCCATAACTCTTTCCCTAAAATTATGCAATCTGTAAACTGTTTCCTTCTGTGGGATTCAGGATTGTTATTAAGCGGTGGCCAGTGTAATGAATGTGTTTCCAAGGATGTAATAGCGTGTTGTTTAAGCTTATTGGAAAACCGGCAGCTATTGACGGGTCTGAAAATTGACAGCCCACTGCTGGCTTTCAAGTTAGGAGGAAACCTGTTCATTTCACATTTCAGGAGGGACCAATGGGATGTACTGCTTGGCCTGTGTGAGTGGGAACTGCTAGCAAACAAATCTTGGCTTTGACTGAAAAAACATTAGTACAACCACTTTCATTAAGTCTTGCTGTAATGTTGCACAGTTGATTATCATGATTCCTATTGTAATGTATTACAATGTCATCACTCCACTGGTCCATATGCAGGAAGTGGAAACTACTTATTCTTATTCAGTGGTACAATATTAATGCAGCAGGTTTTCATTCCACCTAAGCTCTTAGCTCTTAGCATATCTGGATCAATCCAACGCCTTTCTCAAGTGGTATGGTGCTGGAGACATTAAGAGGCATTCATGTCATCATAATTGATCAAACAACTTGGATCTCCAAAGTGCAAAATAAGTCAGTACATGTGCAGAGATTAGAGCAGGGGGCTGCCAAGGGACAAGAAGAGGTTTAATTCCATGCTGAAGAGTAAGAAAGGAAAGAACTGTGTGTTGGCTGTGGAGCAATCTACAGGTGTGTGAATCAGCCAGTTCTAATGAAGTCCAGTAGTGTGGCAATTGAACAGATTCCCGCATTTCCCTTTGGGTTCTGGCTGTGAGTCTATTGTGCTGGTTTCGGGGACTCTCATTAACGTGAAAGAATTAGTTGCTCACCACCGAAGCTGGAACAGCTAACAGCTAAAAGAACAGCTATTTGAGAAGAAAATGCTCCTGAAGTTTTGTGTCACCTAACTCAGACTTTCTTGTTATGTACTGCAGACGTTCCTGTCCACCAGCATGCCTCCAGAGCTAAGCCAGAAGCAAGCTGCAGTGGGAATCCAGACATCCAACTTTTTTATTTTAATTTTCCTGTATGTGGAAAATACTGGATGTGCATCACGTAACCAGTAAAACATTTGCTCACTGTGATTTAAAACGTCCCCTGGGCCCAGTTAGGTGAGTTTTTCTGAGTCTTACACGTTTTCAATGACTTCCCCCCAAAAAAACAAGACTATTGATACCAGCAGATTTCATCACAGCAGCCTCATTATAAGAGGGTTTAGCAGGAATATTGTGTAGCATTGTGTCCTTCACAATTCTTAGTCCATGCACGCACGCGCACACTTCACACTGACTGGCCAAATCAGTGGGATTCCTGCTCGATGATAATGCTCTGTGTGTGGTTGCTGTGAAGTATGGGTGGGGACTGTTACTGATCCATGGAGCTGAACTGCGGTTTGTTTCTGTGTTGCTGTAGCCTCTTCCTTTCTCACACTGTCTCCCCCGGCAGGTGAAGCCATGTTACACACCCGCTGGAGAGACAAAGCCTCTCGCCTTGCTGGTTGAGCCTGCTCGAAGAACACTTTCGCCAGGTTGCAGTGGGCTTTTGAATCTTGCTATCACTCCATCCCAGTTTGTTGCGCTCCCCATATTTCTCCATGCCAGAGATCACCTGACACAGTCGCGCGGCTCGTCCTATTTGTGTTGCCTGCAGGTATGGTTACGCGTCTATTCAATTTGACAAGTAATGCATATTAAAGAGTTTGCGTTGGTTCATGGCTCCTGTGAAGTGTATTCAGCTGGAGTTTGAACAATCAGATTTTGAAGTCAGTGGAAAATTAATGAATTCAGCCACAGAGGAGGAATTTCATTAAGGCATTTTGCACTACGGGAAAAGAATAAAACATTACAAAACTATACAACTTTAAAAATCAAGAAACATTCCTAAAGATGATCATACTGCCTAATTGAAGGGAGAGGTCACCCTATCTTGTTACTAGAAAAAAAGAGAACAGATTTTTGTGCTGCCTTTGTTACTGTAAAGTACAGTATTACATATTTATTTTGTACTTGTCTTTTGTGAAGCTGTAGGGTTTGGTTTATGGTGTTAAAAGTGAAAAAATAAAAGCGAAACCACCTCATTAGTTCAAAAGCTGGAATTTTTTAAATGCTTACAAGTGCCGAAAAATAAGTACTTGTGTAATTGTCTTACATTAAACAAAATCGACTGGGCCTGTGAAATGTGCTGCAAATTCGGTGTGTGAAAACTAGCAAGTACGGCCGATCCATTATTTGATTACAGTTACTGTTATTTTCTGCAAAGAGCCCCACGGGAGAAAATTGTTTAAATCTGTCAACAGTGCTGACAAAAATCCGAGAAATCTCTTAAAAATGTAGACATTTACTTGACAAAGTAATAAACACGCGTCCCCGCCAAGACGGGGGTATGATTGTGCAGGGAATCATTTCGTTATTACTTTTTCATGTTCAGATGATTTCAGAAAAAAAAACCCCACTGCAGCCACCTCTTCTCTCGCAGCCCAATAGATAATTTATGGAAATGCATGCGTGCTCTTGGAGGGAGTTAATAAGATGAACAAATGAAGTGTAAAAACTTTTCAAGATTCAGTAACTTCCGTAAATTTTCGGCATCAAAGCAGTTAACGAGTTTGACAGCTGTGATTATGTCCTGTCATGACCTTGTTTCTCAGTCCCCTTTCGCCTTATCCTGGACAGACTCCCCCTCACTCCGACTCCCCTCTCGCTCGGTTTCAATTAACCCAAACTAAATGAGCGCTGACAGAGCACCAGGCTCGCCTCGCGTCCGCGTGACTCTCGCCACCGCCGCTTTATGGTTGCGTCTCG